GGAAAATGAAATCGAAAATAATAAGGCCAAAAGAATGAGATCTACTTCACCTCAAAATAAATCATTAAGCACAGATACTCACATACTCACAAATATTCACAACTCAGACTTAGGTAAGTTGCAAGTAGCCAATTGAAGAATAGAAACAGAGCTATGGGCACTGCTTTTCGAAGGTTGCCAAGAATGATAGGTTGAAGGGAATTGATCGATTGAAGAACAAAAACAAAGCCAATGAGCTACAACGTAGAGGAGAAAAGATCGAAGTCTAGAAAGGAGGAATCACAGAGCAGATTCGCAAATCTCAAAAATTTGAAATAGTCTTTCTAATTCTAGGGTTACTAGCAAATTGGGTTAGACTTGGACAATTAAGTTTAAGAAGATTATAGGCTGGACTAGACTATATAATTGGGTTTAGAAAAATTGAAAAAAAAAAAAGTCAATTAATTAGGTTGAGTAAGTAAAAATTAATTATTAATATATTTAAAATGTATATATAAATAAATTTATTTATTTTTTTATTTTATATAGATCTCCATGATTCCCCACGAAACGAAAAAAATTCCTCATAAAATTTTACCAAAAAAAAAAATACTTCTATCCTCACCCTACGAAAAAAAAATCTCAAAATTTTCATCCTCGTGATGAAAAAATCTGTGAAGCTCCACGCATCACGAAAAAAATTGTCATCCCTAAGGATCATTTAGTATTCAACTGTGAAGAGAAGACTTGTCCTGTTGCCATTTTTTAAGTCTTTCTCAATTACATTTTTCGTATTTTGATACATAATCTCTCAATTATTGATATGATAAGAGAATTGACGAGGCTGGCCCACGATTGACAATCCTTTGAGAGACAATCTCCTTTAAATCGTCCTTTATTGATACGGTCGCAGTTGGGGTGTGTACCAGTGTAGTTGGTACTGTACCGTATTAACCGGTACAATTGGTACGTATCAGTTTTAAAAATTAACCGAAATGAAATAAGTTAAAATTTCGTTTTGATTAAATTTTAGTTATATCGGTCAAATTTTAATGTATTGGGCCGAAATTTCAGATACCGGTCGATATATCGAAATTTAACCGGTACAATATGCAAGAATTAAAAAAAAAAAAGATTTCCTAGCCAAAACGACGTCGTTTTGGCCAGTCCTGCAATTTTGATTGTGCAAATCCTCCTGTTCACGCGTCCAGCTGTCTTGTCCATCTTCCATTTTTTTTGGTACAGTTGCCGCTACTATTCAAATCAAATTCAAATTTTAAAAGGGCAAATTTCATTTTTAGTCCTCAACTTTAATATTTTATATAATTTTCATCCTTTAATTTTTTTATATACTTTTTTAGTCTATTCTTCATATTTTTTTTAGTCTTTCTATTAATTACTCCATTAAGTTTTTCTAAATACACACATTTTTAATCC